ATCATCTAATAACTTTCAGCAATGGAAATACACCCACCAAATGCTTCCTCCTCAAATATTGATGCCGAAGGACCAGTGGTTTAAACAGCAGCATCCATGGCACACACAGTAGGGCAACCACTACCAGGAAACACTGAATCCCTTTCTGCAAATAAGGACAAGGCACATCACATTTAATCAAACATGGACTTTCCAACTTCAGCACAAAGTTCCCCTCAAAAAGTTCTTTCTTACTGATCCGTGAATAATGCTACTCGGTTTCTCAAACTAATTAGCAGACGTTGTGGCAAAGCCCAGCAACTGTCGCATAGGATGTAAGTTATTATTCTACCCTTTCTGGACAAGGAAATTACAGTAGACCCTCCCAAGTAAGGAGGATGGACTGAATTTAGATCTGGATGTATGGTCTGAAAACCAAATATTACAGAAATGGATTTTTTTAAGGCTTTTTTAGGGTGACAGAAACATCTAACTTCCTGACCTAGGGTAACCACCTAAGACAGTCCCCTTCTGGGTTGACGCACCTGTCCAGAATACAGCATCGAATTAGAGTCCGGATAGGAAAACAGGAACATGTTTATGAAATGGATCAGAAGGCTTGGCGCTTTCTTAGATGTATGAGCATCGTAGGCTGTCCACTTATAAAAAATAAGGATAACCAAGTAGCCAAACAAAGAGGTCATGAAGATTATTTCAGGAATAAATCCAAAGTAGATATTCAGGGGCTTCCTGAAGTAGCTAAAAAGGAAGAGAGAAAAATGTGAAAGGTGACTAGACCCAGGGACACCCCTACTCCAAGTGGTGTGCTCACTAGATTTTCTCCTAACGCTCTCTCAATTCTGTCTTTATCACTTTAAGAAACAACAGCCAGAGCACTGGCGGCAACACAGACAAGCAGGATTCACCATGATTTTCAAACTTTCGGACCTTGAGCAGCTCCAGTACCATCCCCACCATTCTCCCATGAGAACGAGATTGGGCCACAGTTCCAATCAAGGTAAAAAAAACATAATTCATTTTGATGAAAATTACACAAGTTTTTCTCAAAGATCTTTATTACAAGTGTAAATTGTTAAGGGACTAATATTGGGGTGTCAAAAAAGTCATGACGTATTTTTTCTGTTTTTCGTTGCAAAAATGCGTCATGACTTTTCCAACAACCCAATATTAAGTAAGCCTCATTTAAGAACATGTGATTAATTTATAAAAGCACTTAACGCAGAACAGAGTTCGGAGTTACTAATCCCTCCCCAAAGATGTCATGATTTCTTTAGGCAAAAGCATTATCTAAACTACCTGCAGTCTCCTAAGACACAGAGCAACTCACGTATGGTTGAGAAGGCTCAGGCTGACCCCAAATATCATGTGGACAATACCAAGGATAACAGACATCTTCATCTTAAAGGAGTTGAGGAAGGTCAGTTTATTGGTAGCAATGTTCCAGATCTGTCACAACCCAAGAAAACGAAAAGGTATTACAAAGAGTTTTCACGTGGAAAAATACTCACCTATTTTAAGAAATAGGTTTTTTTTTTAAAATTATGGAAAATAATTTATGGAAAATTCTAAACATATCCTTAAATAGAGAGACTAGTATAACAAACTCCCAGTACCTATCACCCAGCTTTGACAGTTACAATCAACTTACCTACTCACAATCTCATTTCATCACACCCCAACTCACTCCCCACCTCCATGTTTTTTTGAAGCAAAATCCAGATATCATATAATTTTACCTGCAAATATTTCAGTACAGCTCTCTAATAGGACTCATTTTAAAAACAAGAGCACAACACTGTTATCAAACCCCAAAGCATTAACGATTTTTTAATATCATGAAACAGAGTCAGTATTCAAATTTCCCTGATTGCGTTCAAAAATTTGTTTTATAATTCACTTATTCAAAGTAGGGTCCAGATAAGGTCTACACACTGTGATTGCTTTTTTTGTTTGTTTTAGCTGAGCCATTCTGCTACCTTTTGGCAGCTCAGCGGCAGCTCAGCTTGGGCTGGGCATCGAACCGCTGTTGCTCAGAACTCAAACTCTTGAGTGAGCTCTTAACCAACTGAGCCACTCGGCCGGCCCACACTGTGACTGTTGATATAGCCCCTAAGTCTCTACTCTATAGGTTCTTCCTCCAGCTCTCTTTTTTTGTTCCTTACAAAATGTTGAAGAAATTTGGTTGGTTGGTTGGTTGGTTATCTTGTAGATGTTCCCACAATCTGTGTTTTCTGACTGCGTCCCTGTGGTGCTGTCATTCCATCTACTTGTAAATATTAATTGCCTTAAGCTTTGTCCCCTAAGGCCCGGGCGCCTGTAATATTTTCCAGATAGTTTTTCTGCCTCCACTTGGCCATCAGATCACATTTCCTAAATCATGACTCGGATGCAGTTAGATCCTTGTGCCAAAACCAACCCTGAACCCCCTGTCATCTCTAGGCTAAAGTGCAAACTCTGTAGCTTGATAAGCCAGATCTCCAGCCATTTTCTGAACTGACCTCTTCACGAAGAGCTCATCCTCAGAGACCTCCAACCTGAAAACTTATGACTGGTTCTCTCTTCCAGCTTCAGTCTCGCCTGAAAATCGGCTCTACGACTCCAGCTGCCTGACAGACATTTACACCTGGGTGTCCCACAGGCACTTCAAACTCCACATCTACTCTGTAAGCATCAAATGAAATGTCTGCCTGGAAAACCGTAACTACAGAACATTATATAAATGTGAGGTAATATTTTTACTAGACTCCAAACTACTTGAGGGCAGGAGCTATGTCTTAAAATTCTGTGTTGGGGTGGTCGGTTAGCTCAGTTGGTTAGAGCGCAGTGCTCATAACACCAAGGTTGCCGGTTCAATCCCCACCTGGGCCACTGAGCTGCGCCCTCCACAACTAGAATGAAACAACTACTCGACTTGGAGCTGATGGGTCCTGAAAAAACACACTGTTCCCCAATTAAAAAAAAAAAAATTCCATGTTTCCCCCAACAGAACTATGCCTTGGAGACAATAAGGATTCAATATACATTTGTTAAATAAATGCATATATAAAACGTTATTAAACCTCTCTAAGCCTCGGTTTCCTTATCTGTTTAATAGGAATAGCATTATCTACCTGATAGAATTGTTTGAGGATAAATCAGATATGCTAAGAGCTCGGTACAGTGCCTGGCCCACAATAAGCATTTCAGTAACATTAGCTTCTATAACAATTAAAATAATTAATTTTGTACCTCCGATTTCTATGCTTTTGCACACACTTCTCACCTATAACAATCTGAAATACTTTTTAAAGGCAAGATTAATTCCCATTTTTTACAAGAAACCTTAATCTTTTTGGCCCATAATGATCTGTTTTTCCTCTGGAATTTTGTAATCCTTACTGTCTAAAGCTTATTCTGAAATTCCCCCTAACCTCTTTTTAAGCATGCAATACAAAAGATTTGATCACTCTTTATCTGCCTAAGTATTTGAGGAAAAAAAAAATTTTAATTCTGGGATACGTTCTTCTAAGTATATAAAGATAAGAATGGAAATCTAAACCCACAGGAAAAAGCTATTTCTGTTTTGTTAAAACATCTGCAAAAAATAAAGACCAAACTAAATAAAATAAATTAAATAAACTGGGAAGGAGACTTGAAAATCAATCTTCCCAGAGTCGGTATTATTAGCCACCTCTGAAATAAGCAGCGCAGGAAAAATTATTTGGCTCCCTAAGAGACTTGGGTCTTTTATGGCTTTGAAGTACACTGGACAGATAGATACACCGAGGTTTTCCAAACGTATGTCGACTAAAAACCAAATAACTATTTATCTTCACTTTAATTCTCTCACTTCAGGGTCACAGTCTAAACTTTTAGTATCAGACATATAGGAAAGAAGTGCTCTTACTGGGTCGATGCCAAAAGGGTATGGTCCACCAAAAACGCCAGGGACAGCTGGGTTCAACTGGAGCACGGGGTTCCCATGAAGCGTCTCCTCCCTGCCGTGTTAGGAGAAAAGCTGCATTTATTTTTTATCAACAGAGGGGAACTACTGGGGTCCAGAAACTGATCCCCAAAAAGACTACTATAGCTATCTTGTCTCTTCAGTAAAAGAGGAGGGACAAGCATCTGAGATGAGAAGGAAATGGAAATTTAAAAAAAAAGAAAAACTAAACACACATATACAACCAAGCAGGGAATTTGGGCAATCTGCTTTTAATTTACAGAAAGAATCAATGGGCCTAATTTACAGTCTCAGTTCCTTGATACTGCTGAACAAATCACAAAGCACTTCCCAGGCGGGAGCATAAATAAGAGGAGACACACTGCATTCTTCTCAAACAGAGACATTGTCAGCCACCTCCTAAGAAGCGTTTAGTTTACCGCCTGTCTGGAAAATCAGAGCTGAATCTGAAAGGAATAAGCTTTGACTTTTAGCTTCTTGGGCAACTTACGTCCAATTATATATAGTGAACATCGGCCGCACGCTCCAGGAAGACCCAAAGATGTTAAGAGACTTGGAAAAGCAATCGTTGTAGATGAGGCCAGTGTAGATGGAGAACACACCCATCAAAAGGATAATGTACCGGCCACTGAACACAGTGCTAAACATCTGGGAACCAGAAGAAAGAAGTCAAGGAAATGTACACGCTGGAGGTCATGTTGTGACTATGTTACTTAGACTGCACTAGACCCTTCCTCTCTCACCACTTTACTCCATCATGGGTCAGAGAGCTTGAAGTAGAAAGCAAAATGCAGTGCTAACAAGAAATTCACGTTCACAGGCTTCTTTAAATGTTAAAAATGAACGTAACTTCTCTATAAATGTATGGATAAAACACTTCCAGGTGATAATTTTTATAATGAATGCTTAGACATTATAAAGTTTCAGTCTAATGCAGATGTAACTTAAACATTACCTCATTCTCATTCTTCTGGGAGAGGATCCGGCTCTCCCTTAAGACCATCCATACAGCAAAAAGGGTCATCAAGATGCCATGGCCAAAGTCCCCAAACATCACAGCAAATAGGAAAGGGAAAGTGATGATGGTATATGGAGCTATAAAGAAACCAAAGGAGCGGCGGCTGGTTAGCTCAGGTGCTCTTAATACCAAGGCTGCCGGTTCTATCCCACATGGGCTGCTGAGCTGCGCCCTCCACAACTAGATTGAAACAGCTACTTGACTTGGGGCTGATGGGTCCTGGAAAAACACACTGTTCCCCAACAAAAATTTATTTAAAAAAAAAAGGAAAAAAAGGATGTTAGGTGGGTACTAGACTTATTGGGGTGATCATTTCATAAGGTATATAAATATCTAATCATTATGTTGTACACCTGAAAGTAATATAATAGTGCATGTCAACTGTAATTTAAAAAAAAAAAGAAAAAAAAAGAAAGTAAAGAAACCCAAGGAGGAAAAAGGCAAAGTACAGAAAACCATAACAACCCTCAAGTCTCCATACTCTAAGATCAGCAGGAGGTGACTATTTTCAAGCTGCTAGACAAATGGACTACCAGGGAAAACCTTCCCTGGCAGGATCTGCACAGCCTCATGAAGCAGCTCTGATGGTATCTGAGCCATTACTAGCATTTTAAACAAAGAACACAGGAAGTGAAATTTTGTCTTTAGCCTTGGCAACAGTGTGGTTTGTCCTTTGATTCCTTTTTTCTAACTCCTGGGACCTGCTCCTGAGGCAGACCAGCTTTCTCTTTCTCCTGTTGTGCGACAACCCTTTCCCAGCTGAATGCAGTTACCAGATAAGTGGGAGAAAGCCCAGCTGAAAATGAATTCTCAGACTCCTGACTTAATAATTAACTCTCCAAACAGAGCAGAAATCTTCCTTGTGCCTAAAACAGTCAATAATTACTATACTTGCTCTGTCTAAACGAGAACAGGGAAGCCATTTTAAAATGTCAGCTATTTTGGAAAAAACTTTTTGCTTAAAGCAGTTCCTGCAAATGGTGTGCTAAAGAGAGCCAGCTATTTTACAGCTGTCAAGGCACACAGAAGAATCCAATCCACTAGCAATCCAACAGCATTTAAAGTGAGGCACCACAAGATAACAAACAAAAAATAAAACCTCTATGGCGAAACGATTCAAGCTTCTTTACCTGGATTTATCTCTCGGTAAGTTCCAATCCCGTAAGCATCTACTATGTTCTGAAAGCCGTAGGTGAATTTGTTTGTTTTGTTATAGGTTGGGGGAGTCTGGTTTGTCTGCATCCTGTTCAAGATGGAGGGCACGGTGGAACCACTGTGTTCCTGGGAAACAAGAAACACATATATCAACATTAGGTCATCCTCCTAAAGGTGGTGGGGGTTACACAGGTGTACATACCTGTTTATCAAAACCCATCGAACTGTACACATGCAATGTGTGCATTTTCTTTTATGTAAATTGCATCTCAATCTTTCCCAGTCTTTGGGAAAACTGAAACTGAGTATAAAATTTACAATGAAAGACTTAATTTAAGTCTTGGGAAGAATATCCTTCCCGTGGAAAAAATTTACTTCTAAAATGTGGAACCAAAGAAAACATGGAAGCCCCTTCTCTGGAGGCATCTGCAACTGCCTTTCTACGAGTATCACTGTTCTCTCCTTCGTTTATGGAGAAAGCAAAGTATATTCTCTGACTTTCCTCGTTCACCACCTAAACTCCCTAATCTCCTGCAGTCTAGCTGACACGCTGATTCAAAGTGACTGGCTTGTCACCAGATCCAAAGGTCTTTTCTCCCACATGCAATCACCTGACTCTGGAAATCTTCCTCTTCTTAGGTGAAAATCGCTATTCCTTAGGAGTGTACTAACCATGCCTTTTCCGTCTCCTTACTGGCTTTTCTTCCTCTGCCTATTTCCAAACATAGCAGGGCCCCCAAGTTCCTATGTTTAGTTTCCTTCTTTTCTCTCTTGGAGGTCTCATTCCCTTCCACCCTCATGAATCCCATGTCTTACATTTTTGCTCTTTCTATCGAGAACCTGCCCCATTATCTGCTTGACATTTCCATGTGGACTTCTATTGGGCCCCTCGATGTGACTGAAACTGAACGTACCATCATTCCCCTATCAATAAGTTTCTCTTGCTGAGCTTTTACTTCCATAAATGGAACCATTATTCTACCAGGCCACCCAGCTTTGATGCCTCAGAATCATTTAAATTTTTTTCTCTTTGTATTTCTCCTGCACGTTGCTAGAAACCAAGTATACCTTCAGAATGTCTCACAAATTCATCATTAGTTTCTTTTCCTGTTGTCCAATCTTACCCTAGGGGTCCTTATAACTTACTACTCTGTGTTTACAATAACTTCTTAACTGATTCCCCATCTACAGACTCTCTCTAGACCCCAATCCAACCTAGATACTACCAACAGATTACTCTTTTAAAACTCCTGCTTTGATCATGTCTTTTCATGGCTAAATAACTTCCAATGCCTCTCTACTCCCTCTGGAATAAAATTTAAACCGTCTAACCTGGTATTTAGAAACCTTTCACAGGTAGGTTCAAATCTACCTAATCAGGTTTACCTCCTACTCTTTTGGCTCACTATTATAATTCCTGTTCTTGCCCAACTATGCACAGTCACACTATACTTCCTGCCTTTGTCCATATCGTTTTCTTCTTGTCATTACTGGTCGGCATCTTAGCCATTCTTCAAAGCCCCAATGTCTGATCATCTAGTTGGAAAAGCCAGCGCCCTCTCTCCACACACATAAGCCACTCTTAGCACAGATGGTCTTGTATGTTGGCACGTCAGCCTCTCCAAGTAAACTGTAAGCTACTTGAGGGCTTATTTTTTACATTTCTACCTAGATCAGTGCCTAGCACAGAGCAGTAGCTCTAACTACAAAACAGGACTGTCTGGGTCATATTACAGAAGTAGTCTAATGGACAGAGAGAGTGAATCAGGAAATTGATATTCTGGTCGTGAGTTATCCTGAAGAACCATGGGTATACGATCAAGTCATTTAATCTTTCTTGAACTGCAGTTTTCGCATTGGGAAAATAAGGATGTCAGGATACAAGATGAGTATATTCAAGAATTCAGAGAGTACAAATGCCATGAAAATGTTAATTAACGTTACTGTTGATGGGAGCCTCTTTTCCTGGCCGTAGGCAGCACTGCCAGCTGTGGGGGTACTCACCGTGCCCCTTCTGAGTGCAAACTGGATGGAGTCAAGGTCAGTGACTGGGCACCAGACCTCTGCAATCAGGCACTTCTGGGTCACATCTATGTTGCACAGGTTCAGAGTGTGGTAGATGGCCTTCATCTTCCGCACTTTGATGAACCAGACCCGGATGTTCTTAGCAGCTGCCTGCAGAACCCTCTGGCGGTGATCCTCTGTTTGATTCAGGACCTGTGGAAGAGAAAGGAACAAGGGAGGGATCCTTCTAACACCAATCTTAGATCTCAGGAAATGAAGGGCAAGGAGGCATAGCTTTCTGAGGAGGGCTACTGGGGATCTGTTTTTTTTTTCTTCTGACTAGAATAGCTTTTCTTTATTCTTTTTTTTGCCAAATTACAAGAAATTTTGAGTTCTAGTTACTAACATTCATTTTCGTTTAGCTTCAAGATCAAGAGAAACCCGAGAAAATGTTTTTTAGCTTTTCTCTATGTATTTAATCTTACCACCAAATGCATGGCACAATGCAGGCTTTTTAGCTGGATCATTAAAGAGCGATGGCTTTACATGTGGGGCCTGTAACTTGGATTCAAAGCATCAGGTCCAGGCACTGACAAAGCAACACAGCCATACTTAAGAACAGAAGCTGCAGAACCCCTGAGCATAAGCCAGCATCAGGGAACAGTGGGAAAGCGGCATTACTGACCATCAGAGTCTGCCTGTGCCAAGAGTGACCCCACATAGGAGACAGAAGGCCATGGGCTCAGGAAGACCCAGACTTTAGAGGGGGTTTAGATGGCCACATGCCACTGTCATCACAGGGCAGACAAGGCTTTATCTTCCTGTCGGGCTTCTTGGGGGGGAAATATATTAGTGCTGACCCCTTTGGAAACCAGCATAGATTTCCCTCAGAGGAACCATATTGCCAAGGCTAGAATGGGAGGAAGAAGCAGGGGCACTTTACATCCTACTGCCTTGTTTATCGCCAAATAGTTAATATTTCAATAGAGGAAGAGGGACTAAGGCTGCCCTGTTTTTTTTTTTTTAAAGATTTTTATTGGGGAATTGGGGGAAGGGGAACAGACAAGTTGCTATCCTTTTGTTCTTCAGTCTAGTTGTGGAGGACGTTGCTTCACTGGCCCAAATTGGCACCATCATTGGGCTCTTCCCGGGCGAGGTAGACCAGTCGCCAGCTTCTAGATGCCGCTCAAGCTGGCTGCTGGCTACACATGGTAGCCATGGCAACCCGCTGCAGCACGGGCTGCAGCCCAGCTCCAGGTTGAGTTGTTGTTCAGCATTTTAGCTGTAGAGGGCAGTGTCACTAGCCCTCATATGTGGGATCCGAACCGGGGCCCTCTGGCATCCCAAGCCAGCTCTTAACCAACGCGCGACTTGGCGGGCCTGAGAATCTATCTTAAATCTCCACATTTCTTCAAAGAGGAAAAAGCTATATACCAACCACGCTAGCATAAGTCTCCATCATAGCTGGCTCTTTCAAGTCAGTTCAGAAAAAAAATAGTAAGTTCTTCCCGAGAAACCGTCTTGGGCAAGAGAAGGTGACTCCCACAGAGAGGTTAACAAAATAAAACAAAAAAGCCATGGCGTGCTAGGGGAACTCTTAAGTCACTTGAGAATAAAGGAACAAAGCTGCTTTTTCTTCTGGCTGTTGACAATATCACAATTACCATTAAAACTTCTGGAAGGATGCTAAATAAACTTACAAGCAACGTTCTATTTGCTTTTCTCTTTCCCTATAACCGCCCCCACATCTCACTCCTTGGTATTCGATCCCTTTTTAAAGTTTCAGTTCGTACAGCTGGGTTGCACGTACTCTTTAAAATCTACCCACAATCCTGGGAGGGGATAAGACAGTCCTAGAACCCAGAATGTACTAATATCACCCACCAGTAGTTTGGGTTAAACAGATCAGCATATCTCAAAGGAGCCGGCAATAGGCCAAATCAATGGGTCGCATGCAATGGGGGTCAGAAGGAAAGATGAGGAAGGCAGTTGAAATGGGGATCATAGCAGATCTCTGACAATTTTGCCACTGCGAGAATGAAATGCCTTTGGGATTGGTATGTTTATTAATGTTTCAAGGGGCAATCACATTCTTTCAATAGGAAACAACGCTCCCACTGGCCACCCGTTTCCCTCCATGTACCTATACATCATGACTCCTTCCTTAGAACCCTGTGACTACAATGGTGTGCGTGTAAACCACATCCACTGCAATTTGCTAAAAGTCTAGCACAGTCCCTTCTTGGGTACAAGAGTTAGACCAGGACTCTGGCTAGACTCTGGTTAAGATCCAAGGCAGCCAGAAGGATACACACCAAGCTAAGGGTGGCTGCCTCTGGAGGTAGAGTGTGTGTGAGAGGGCAGAAATGACTTTATTATTTGATTTTTTTTTTCCTAATTAAACATACTTTTTAATTTTATTATTTTTATTTTTTAAAGATTTTCTTGGGGAATTGGGAGAGGGGAACAGTGTTGGGGATTTAGGGAAGGGAACCAGACAAGTTGTTGTTCTAAAGTCTTCGTTGTGGAGGGCGCCAGTCGCCATCTGGCTTCCTGTCAGCAGCTTGTGGTCTCTAAGCTCAAGGTGCTGTGTTCAGTCTTAGTTGCGGGTGGGCGTAGCCACCGCCCCATGTGGGAGTCAAACAAGCAGCCTTGTTGTTAAGAGTGCACACTCTATCCACTGAGCCATCTGGGTGGCAGCTCAGCTCAAGGTGCCGAGTTCAGTCTTAGTTGTGGGTGGGCGTAACCCACCATCAAACAGACAATCTTGTTGTTACACCAGCTGAGCCACTCGGCTGGTCCCTTTTTAAATTTATTATAAAAAATATCTGAATCATGAGAAAGGGAATTGAATACTCTAAGCAAACAACGATTTCAGATGCACAGCATTCCTGTCATGTTTGAGGATGATAAATGCTATTTTTAACAGTCATTCCCTGAAACTTTTCCCCAGCTGCCAAGGGGACATATTACCCGTGGGTATTTCTGTTTTTGGTATTCTGAGCTGCTGCAGGTGCCTAATAAACTGTTAGTGTTTCAAGGAAAGGAAACTGTTCTCCTGTTTCAGTATTTCACAAAAAACGAATTCCCTCCAGCCCTCTGTATACCATTTGGAGATCGTCAATCCTGGTATTAACTCCAGAAGCCATTTCCTTCCTCTCCTGGGGGGTTTCAGGGCAGGGATAGAGGGAGGCCCGGAACCTGGAATGTACAGACACAGCCTCAGGAACATGGAAGTTTCCTAACCTATCCAATTTAAATAATCTCAGAGAGTAATCTTACTTTACTGGAAAGACCAAAACAGGATTAGTTCAGACTGATACACTAATCAATGAAATAATTATTTATGGGAAGTGGTCTACAGATAGAGCAATAACATTTGGACTATCTTGACATTCTCCGTAGCTATTAAATTCCATTAGATTAAAAAAACAAAAACCAGTAATACAAGTCATATTGAAAAATGGCATAGAAGAAAGATCTTATGGGCAGAATTTCAGAAAAGGTTAAGGGCACGGTGCCTGTGGCGTACTGCTGGGTATGCGGACCATTGTTCCAGAACAACGCAGCATTTATAAATCATGAGCCCAAATTACTTCTTTTCAAGGAAAGGAAATTGTGATTTTTGACGGTACTTTAAAAAATGAACTTTGGCCATTTCTAATTGTTTACAACAGCCCTAACATTATTAAAGATATACTCACCATGTAAAGGCAGACTAATAGGGATTGTGTTTCACTATTCTGTATTCTAAGGCTTAAGAGTTAGGCTGCATGACCGCACCCTCGGGGGAGGCATGTTTTTCTTACCCTTCACAGATTTTCTTGACTCTGTTCTTCAGCTGATCGCCTTGGAAGAAAATGATGAACACAGACTTGTGCACGTAGTCGCCCTAGGCCCCAAACCAAAAGCCGAGACTTCAGACTTCTAATCCGGAAGAAAACTTCTTAAATAACTTACTTTCTTGGTGATATAAGAACAACAGGAATCTGTTAAGGGTATGGCAATCCTGTACTTGAACCACCATCCTCCATCCATTTCTTAAGCTCCACTACAAGAACATGTGCCCTGTAATCTCTAATCTCTATTTATTTTTAAACTCAACCAGGGGCTTGACACAATTCAGCCCTATTGACCAATTCAACTTTAAATCTTCGGTTGCCTGATTGATGTAAGCACAGGGGAGAAGAAAGAACAAGAAGCCATTCCTGTCTGTCCATGCTTAGAAATTCCCAGATAAAGGGAATTGGATAACCACAAGGGACTGAGTAGCTGGGGAGGATATTGATGTGGACTCTCATGATCCATGCTGATTTAGACTTTAGAGGCCAGGGCGGAAGGCAGCCCATTCCAAATACCAAGTTTACATCTGAAGTCTGATGCAAGAATTGGAAGCAAAGATCAGAAGAATAAGCTATGCTGGGTGTTAACTAGGATTGACTCTGGTTGCCTGTATTTTCTCATATTCCTATAGAGCTTTTATAATAAGAAAACAAGCAAACAAAACTTTAGAAGGATAAAAGGGGTTGAAGAGTGAAGAAAATAAGGCTCAAGACTCCTAAATTCCTAAATCCTCCAGGAATGAGCTTGAGCACACTCTTGGTGCAGCTGCCCTGCTGTAGCTATCTAGAACCCCTTTTCCTCGATTTGTTAATAAAATAGTTTCTGTCGCCCAGAAATCTGGCTGAGTATTCCTGAGCACAGCTCCACCTGAGGTGTGACTACACTGCAATGTCTCCACAGCCCAAGGACAGCCTTCGGTAAGACTGTAAAACAGCCCCTCTGGGTAAGGGGACTCACCTAAGTGTCACCAAGCTCCCACTCAATACTGAAGCTAAAAGGCATGTACGGTTAACTGGATTATTTTTAGATGCATGACCCACCCACTCTGAGAAGTCTCACATTCAACCTCCCATCTTAGGTGGAGCAAAGAATACTAATTTAAGAAATCCAAAAGATAGTTTAGAACACAAGAACACACTTCAGGCTTCTAAATAATACTAATACAAAAGTAAAGTAGATTTTTTGTGGAATATTTAATCTTCTTTGCTTGTGATCCCTGAAATCAGGACTCACCATACTCAATGCAAGTTTATGTTAAGAACTCTGCCCCATTACGTCAAACGCTAAGATGTTAAGCCAGTCCTACTTTCCAAAGCACTGGGTGGGGAAGAGCAACCTATCTTGCATAATATGTATTTTAAAACTAAGTTTCTAAATCTCTCAACAAACAAGTAGACAAAAAAAAAAAAACAACCCAAAACCAACAACACCTTACCAACCAACTAAAATTTCATCAACTTACAGATTACAATTTAGGAACTCTCTTTCTCCTTTTACACATGGACATTACCAAACTTGGAACTTAACTTTAAGTTAATTTTTATAGAAAGTTAATTTTCTTTGTCTTAGTCCCAGATAACTAACAGAAAACATAAATCTAAAGGTTAAAATAACTGGAAAAAATGTATTTACAATAAAAATAATACCTACACCCAGGTAAAGCTTAAAAAGGTACATGTATGTGTCATGTATACATCGCATGTACACATATGACCGAAGTTAAGAGAAAAAGAGCAGTCCTTCACATTCTCAGATCAAAGCAAGGGTGTAACATAATGGCTCTTCTGTGGGAGCGTCAGAGTCAGGAGCACCATGGTTACTGCTCTGAGCTCCCTTTACAGGACCTACTCCATGGGACACAATTTCCTTGTCTTACAGTCACAGGATCCTCCAGGGGGTTCTCGATTTCAGCCTGTCGCAGGAACACATTCCCCCGGCACACCCGCCAAAGCATGCGCTCAAAAGTCGGGATGCGTTCTCGGTTAATCACACCAGCCACGAAGCTGTGGGGAGAAGAGCCAGACTGGGAAATCTATTCCATGCCGTGGGACGGAAGTCTTTAAGACAAAGAAGGAAAGTGAGGGTAGAGGGACAAAGACGACACACACGACACTATGCATTAAGTCAAAAGGGCTGCTAGGGCGGCCTGTTGGTTAGAGCGCAGTGCTCATAACACCAAGGTTGCCGGTTCAATTCCTCACATGGGCCACTGAGATGCGCCCTCCAAAACTAGATTGGAACAACTACTTGACTTGGAGCTGATGGGTCCTGGAAAACACACTATTCCCCAGTTAAAAATAAAAAAAACGGCTGCTAAAATCTTATTCCTGGACCCAGAAGAGAGCTGACAGAACTCAGGAGCTGAATCCAAAATGACTAAGGAACACCTCCCAACAGGCTCAGAAGAGAGTGCATTCTGGAAGCAAGTGACTGTCCAGCCTTTTGCTCTTTTGAACAGCAAAAAAGAACATGACCCCGCTGAGGATGGAGGGTAGAAGGGGCGCTTACCCAAGTCTTAAAGGCGTGCCTCTTCCCATCTCGCTTGGCTCCAAGAGGGATGAAGACTCTTCCAACAGGTCTGGATCCGCCATCTGCTGATGATGCAATTCAGCCTGAATTCACAAATCAATTAATATCTAATGAAAATAGTTAGTGGCATGCAGGGAACGAGGAACCAGGAGATAAGTTCAGAAAATAAAGATGAAAACAAACCACCAAAAGAGAAGACATACCCACAGAAAAAAGACAAGAAGGATTGGGAAAGAAAACAAAGGAAAGAAACAAAAAGTAAAGAAAGCATAATTGCCCCAGTAAAGCATCTGGGGATATGGTTTAAGAAATAAGAAATTAAAACAAAACAAACAAAAAAAAAACATTAGATGATGGTGACATGTATAAATCTCACTTGGTGGAAGCCATTTTTTTCTCCTGTGTTTTCCTGAATAAGCCATAAAAGTACCAGGAAATACCTTTGCATGTGGATAGAAGCTGAAGTGTTTCTTTCTTTTGAGCAAAACAAGGCAGCTCTGCAGATACTCTCAACATCAAATTTCCAGGAAGCTACAAACTAGAATTTTCCCTGTGTGAGAACATGATAGATGGAGACTCTCTTTCCAAGGAACAAAAGCAAGACATTGTCACGGTCTTGAGCACAGTGTGTGATCTGGAGCAAGGGAGAAGAGGCATCTCCAGATATCCAGGTTTTCTGTGCTCTTAAAAATGCAGAATATGAGAATTTTCAGCATGGCCGCTGTATGAAATGCTCCAAACCCTGGGATTTAAAGGGTATTTCTTTCTCTAAAAGGAGAAGCAGCACAATAGCTGGGCAGGCCTGGGCCTCCCCCACATCCACAAAGGGAAGAAAAAGTGAAAACACATCTGAATGTCCTGGTTTCTGAACAGGAATCTAGGAATATTTAAAAGTTCATGTAGGCCTTACAGTTAAAAGGTGCTTGAGAACACTGATTAATCCAACCACCTAAATCAAGAAGTAAAGAGAGTAAGAGATTATAGTGTGTAGGCTAGTTTAATTGTTTAGATTTAAAATGATTTCCACCATGACAGTTTATACAATGAAATGAAGAAGGAGAGGGACCTTCTCAGATGTAGGTCTATATTTCCTTGCCTCTCTCTATGCAATACATCCTACCACCTGTTACTCCATCAGGAAAAAGAAGCTGCCCTAAAAAATAAAGGCCAATCGACTTCTGCACTGCCTGATCTCCCCGACTTTAATATCCATGCACTACTTGTTTGACCAAAAACTAGAAGTAAGCCAGAATAATCTTCTTTTTCTAAAGCAAAGCTAAACAAACAAACAAACAAAAAAATCAGGAAAATTTTTCTGCATCATTTTCATTCCAAATTTCAATTTGATTCTAGTCCTATGAATCCCAGTGTCAAAACAAGCCACATGGAAATCTCAAGTCATAAGACCCTACATGTAAGTCTGAAAGCCTAAAAAAAGTGAAAGCAATTGTTTTGGAAAGTAAATTCTAAAAGCAGGATCAAATCTGATCCAGAAAAAAGGGGAAGGGCAGGTACTGGGCATGCCAGAAGGGCAGAGAAATACTATCACGAGGTTTGGAAAAGCTTAAGATGAGGTAAAGGGGGCACAGGTTACTACTTGCTGTCAAATGGAAGTTTACAGGGCTCTTTTTGTTTCTACTTAAAGTCAAATCAACTTACTGTAAGCCACAGGCAACTTCTTTTGAGAATCCTGATGACAACCGCACTTCAACTTGCTCTTGGGGAATCCCTTGGCAACAACCAATGAAACTGACTGTTATTCACAAGACTCCTGCTTACTTCCCTTCACGGTTCATAAGACCTGGTTTAAGTAAACCCTAAAGATCAGACTCAGCAAATATAGGTGTTCTAAAGGGGACAACTGATGGAACAGCAATTAGACTACTCCAAAGACTTTATCTGGGACTCTCTGGATATAAAAAAACAAACACACCCAGAATTAAAATTAAATAGAAACTTGCAACAATATTCTAATTAATAATTTCACTACTTTATACTTAAAAATCCTATGTCTTAGAGAGAACAGTTAAAACTTTTAAAATAAAATAATTGTGCCTGATGGGAAACTAGGATGACCGGACCACTAACTGAGGACCTTTAAATCAGTCTCTAAAACCATGTCATCAAGTATCTAAGTCCTAATCTGGGTTCTCCAGTGACAATAGCAGCACTGCCAATGTCCCTCTAAATTCCTTGCTGTGCCCTCTGGTTTACCCCTTCCCCCAATCAGAACACTGAAACCATGGCTTGAAAAAGGAAGTAGCAGAGCTCCGGCAGTGTTATCTCTACACTTATGAGTAAGTGTAAGCAGCGTGTCCAGTTTCAGCTGCGTTAGTTACCAAGGGCAAACACTTTTACGTCCATCTATGTTAAGAAAGAAATTCCATCTAATCAGCTAGTGCGTTCACCCAAGCCCCAAAGGAAATGGCAGATGGGAAAGAAAAGTAAAGAAAGCAGATGGATGGAAAACTCAGAAGGAAAGGAAGGCAGGGACTGCATGCCATTAACCATTACTTTTCCAGTCTTCTTTACGTTCTCATGTGTTATGGTGCTTATGGTAAAAGATGCAGAGAAATCTCTCCAGCTCTTACAGTTCTTCATAAGAAAGAAGACTGAGAAAAGGATAATCATTAACAAGTCATTTTAAATGCTCTGGATAAGAAATGGCTAAGTCGAATTTGTAATCATTTCAAATCATGAGACTATTCAGCATGTGTTTACCTTTCCCTTCTACACATCTCGCCAATCATAACCCCTATCCCAAAGATGGAAAGAATCATGCTCTGATTTAGCCATTTTCTGCTAACTCATTATTATAAATTGTTGATTATATTCCCCAAAAAGAAGGGTTTGAAACTGGTCATGTTTTAGGCCATTTACAAACCTTATAATTTCAGGCATGGAAGAAAATCTCATGAAGAACCTGTTTCCGAGATTTGAGGGTCCCACGTTTCCTTATCTTTTGCATTAAAGTGTGCCCTTGCATGTGCAGACGTGCTTACTCTGTGAGGTCTTGTCGCCTGTCATGGCAGTGATACCTGAGGCTGTTGTTTGGTAACAGCAGGGCAAGGGCTGCTGAGGTGAGCTAGTGGAAAGAGCAGGCAAGGCATTGGCCGTGCACTGGAGAAAAAAGGCAGCGTGGTTCTTGCCAGGTTTCCTGCACTGTGGTGAGGGTGCTAGGAATGAGAGGGCCTGATGACGAAAGCAGCGTTAGAACCGCTCACAGCCAAGGCCTGGTACTTGCAGACATTAAAAAAAAAAAATGTTTTGCATGAGTAGGAGGAAAACAACTCACTATAGGTGGGGCATGAAGACTTAACAGCATGCCTTCTCAGCGTGAGCCTTTCATGTTTAGATTTATTGATCACAAAGAAAATTCCTAAATCTATAACTTACAATTTTAAATTCTTATATCATCTTTCCAAGTGGTTCCTCTGATTTTATTTTTACTATTTTTTTTAAAATTATAACATTAAGTTTAAATAACTATTTCCCTTAAGGGAGTCCATTTGTCAGTCTTCATTCAGAATTTCTCCCAGAATGAGCTACACTAGGGAGCCTATTCCCATCCTTAAACTCAGGAAGTTATGAAAGACATTTTCATACATTTCAGCAACATCCTATCAGTAAACAAAGGCTGTATCAAAAGGGAAAAAAAGGGAGTGGGGGAGCCAAAGAATTAAGCCCCAATGACGCTAAAAGTAGCTGAACTTGGCTTTTGAGGCCAGGTTTCCATTGGATCTGTGGGCAGCAGCTTGGACACACTCAGAAAAGCACATATGTGTGTGCACATGAAGGCACTGTGTCCGGGGATGTTTCCTGATATGACTAAGGGATACATTCCTTGAGCATGGGAACCACGTCCTACTCAGCGTTATGCCTCACAAAGAGTAGGTGTTCATCCAATGCTCAGTGGATTCATGAAGATAAATACAATAATGTTTAGGCAGTGGGCATCCTGGAATTCTAGTTCATTAAAACCATATGGCAGGGCCGGCCGAGTGGCGCGTTGGTTAAGAGCTGGCTTGGGA